TGTGCCTGCACAACCGAATGGACACCCGCTCTCGAGAGAGAACGTATTAACACTCTCGTTTTTTGCCAGCCTTCTGTCTCCGAGTCCGTTATTTGACCTTGGGCAGGTGAGCATTTCTCACAATCCTCACCCAAGTATATTTTCCCATTGATTTTAGAAAGACTGGAAGAGAGAGGGAAAGACAGTATTAACATAAAAACATTCGAACCTGTACAGAATTTTCATGAGTTTATTTGAGCCAAACTGTCTACAATCATGGAAGCAGAATCTCAATGTATTGGGATAATGCTCTGGAAAATGGTGGTTTTTCACCTACCGTATTTTTCCATGTATAAGACGCCCACACTTTTCCAATCCAAAATTTAAAAATCAATATTTTAAATGTTTTGCTGGTTTTTCTCTTATGGCCTTCTTCTTTTTTGGCATCTTAAGGAGTTGTTTCTCCTGTTTTCTCTACTGTCTGATCATATACTCAGTGGGAAGAGGTCCAAATTGTCTCTCTGCAGCTCTATATCTATGCTCTTTTGCATAGCTGATTACATTCAGCTGAATTTTTGCAGTTAGACAATCGTTTACTGGTATTTACCTTCTTTTTTTTTTTTTTTTTTTTTTTTTTACACCTTTATGGGCTCAGAATGCTCCAGTCCCTGTTGTTTCTGCACACTCTCCACCTGCACCTCCAATTATGGCATCAGCTGACCTCGGTAACAATAAGGCTCGTGATTGGAAGAAGCCTGTTTGACAAGGTATGGGCAGCTCCCTCCTTGCCTGGCTTCCAGGTATAAGACGCCCCTTGATTTTCAGTCTACTGATTTTTAGAAAAAAATAGCATATAATACATGGGAAAATAGGATATTTTTATACACTATTTTGAAATCCATTGATGATAGATTAAGAAGTCAGAAGAAAGCACAGCAGGGGAAATCTCTGAGATTGGCTGACAAGTAAATTGATAGGCACATACTTCTTTTACTTAGGTGGGTACAGGATAATTAACAGTCAACAACTAACATGATGACAATAACAATGAAGGAATTTATGGCCTCTATTCTGGGCACCCAGGAGCATTTGGTTGTACCCTGAGAGGTCCAGAGAAAAAGGGAAGTTATAAGTTACCCTGACATTTCAAGGGTATGCTATTAGAGATGCAAAAAGACAGACAGGCTCAGTTAAGGTAAAGGTTGACCTTGGCAGTGAAGATATCGGCCTAGGATGTGACCACCCACCATCACTGCTTTTAGTTAAAGTGTAATTTCAGACAATCCTTTGTGGTTACTTTAGGTCTCTGAGTCTGCAAGACCGCCATGCAGGCCTTCCCTGAGCTGGTCAGGTTAGCATGTGGCCCCTTTCATCCACACACTTACCATGCCATGAACTCATAGGGAATGTGTTCCAGCAGCTCAGGCTCCTTCCCATTGGTTCTCACAAAGCGTGCTTCTCTGGGTGGAGCAGGCTGGCACTTCAGCTGAACACAGGTACCTTTCTCTTGGCTTCCTCCTTTTTCTGATCATTTTCCTTCACATGTTCCAGGAAGCTGTCTCGGCTCTTAGAGAGCTTAATATGCTCAAGACGTACATTAACTCTCTTGGCAAGAATCTTGCCCTTACCTTGCTTGTCCACAGCAATGCCCACCGCATGCTGCGTGGCTCAGACTCTTCAGTTCTGCCATAGTAACATGTGTGGGGCATTCCTTTTTGAGCAGTGCCCATTTCCTTGATGCCCACAATGTCACCTTCCTGGTAGATTCGCATGCATGTGGCCAAAGGAACAACTCCATGTTTTCTTTCTCGCTCTCTCTCTTTTTTTTAATATATATTTTTATTGATTTTTTACAGAGAGGAAGGGAGAGGGATAGAGATAGGGCTCCATGTTTTCTAAAAGGCCTAGAAAACATATAGCAGGGGCCTCTCCTCTTTTCCTTTGTGTTGTCATTTTGGTGAAATACTGGAAGATGGCTGTTCCAGCCAAAAGGCAATAAATGTTCTAATACCAAAAAGAAGAAATAAGGTCCAGATAGTCAGTAACTTGCTTAGGGTCATACTGATGGTGTATGGCAAAGTTGGGATTCAGACTCCAGTCTGATTCTGGAGCTCATGTCCTTTTGCTATTCTAATGCTACCTCGGAAAGCAGGAAGGAAGAGAGAGGGGTTGTCAGTCTCAGTGCCTGAGATCATTCACTCATCCATCCATTCATTCAAGGAATATATTGCTTATACTATGTGTGAAGTACAGGGGATTCAGAGATGAATGAGATAAGATTTTTGTCCTTGAGTAGCTCAGAGTCTAGCATTTAAACCTATTGTTGTATGCGGGGCGATGAAGAAAAGGAAGTATGATTTATTAAGAAGATCAAGGAGCCGAAACTGGTTTGGCTCAGTGGTAGAGCGTCGGTCTGCGGACTGAAAGGTCCCAAGTTCGATTCCGGTCAAGGGCATGTACCTTGGTTGCGGGCACATCCCCAGTATGGGGTGTGCAAGAGGCAACTGGTCGATGTTTCTCTCTCATCGACGTTTCTAGCTCTCTATCTCTCTCCCTTCCTCTCTGTAAAAAATCAATAAAAATATATTTAAACACAATCTTTGCTTTAAAAAAAAAAAAAAAAAAGATGATGATCAAGGAAATAAAACATTAAAGTTGCTCTCATCCCTCTCCTTCCCTCTAAACATCCAGAGTCCTCTGATCTTTTGGATTAGATACACCCATATTTTACCCTCTAGCATTGAACGAATGGGGGGGGAAAGGGGGTGGATTTACTATGAAACCGTTGAAGCTTAAGCTTCAGGGTCCCTTGTTTCCTGAAACAAAGCCTTCTGAGGCCCTGTGATTTCTGCAGCCTCAAGCTCCAGAATCAGAGACACCCAGGGTTTCAATGCTCCAAGAATCTTCTCAACAACCTCCCTGTGGGCAGGAAAGGACACACACAATCTTAAGGGGCCAGAAGTAGGACTGAGGCAGTGCTGTAACTGAGCAATGAAGGCAGGTCACTGTGGTCAAAGGACTTCCCCGTATGGGAAGCTTTCTATCCATCTGTCCATAAAAAATCAAACCCTGAAGAATTTAACTGTTAAAAACAAACAGCAGGCCCAAAATGGAGTCTCTTATGCTAAGCCCCTCACCAACAAATTGAAACTTAATTCGTTTGGGCTCTCCCAGAGATGGAATCTTAAACCGATCGATCAAGAACCACCGAATCAGCTCTAGGTAGGTGTTCTGCCTGATCGACTCCTGCAATCCTCTGAAGGAAAAAGTGACTTTGCAAGAACCAGTCACTTTTTTTGTCTAGTATAACTTCCTTGTTCCCGTTCCCTTCTCCCTATTAAAGTATTTCATTTTCCACAGCTCCTCAGAGCTCCTTTCTATCTGCTAGTTTGGATACTGATTCGTGAATTGTTGAATAAAGCCAACAAGATCTTTAAAATATATTCAGTTGGCCCTAAGCAGTTTGGCTCAGTGGATAGAGCATAGATCTGCGGACTGAAAGGTCCCAGGTTCAATTCCGGTCAAGGGCATGTACCTTGGTTGCGGGCACATCCACAGTAGGGTGTGCAGGAGGTGGCTGATGGATGTTTCTCTCATTGATGTTTCTAACTCTCTATTCCTCTCCCTGCCTCTCTATAAAATAAAAAAAAAATCAATAAAACAAATTTTAAAATAATAAAGTATGGGAGATCCAACCTGCACTTAAAAAAAATAAATGTATTCAGTTGAATTTTGTTTAACAACTGTTTTACACTCACCCAAGTCATAAGTGATTCAAGACTAAAAAGGTGTGGGTTTTTTTTTATGTTTTATTGATTTTTTACAGAGAGGAAGGGAAAGAGATAATCAGAAACATAGATGAGAGAGAAACATCGATCAGCTGTCTCCTGCACACCTCCTCCTGGGGATATGCCCTCGGTCAGAATGGAACCTGGGACCTTTTAGTCTGCAGGCTGACGCTCTATCCACTGAGCCAAACCGGTTAGGGCAAGACTCGAAAGTTCTTAGAATGAGAACAGGAGGCCTCACTGGCAAAATCTGCCAGGTGGATCCACAAAGCATGCCACGCTACACGGGTGAGTGAGAACATGTGACTCCTTAGGGCAGGTACTGTACCTGCTGTGCCTACTGTCACATCTCTGGCAGCTGGTACAGCCCTTGACCTATGGGAGATGCTCAAATAAAGACTGTAGTTAAAAAAGGAGTTGTTCTTGTGAGAGATACCTATTTCTCCCAAGATATACTGGCAGTCTTTTGGACTAGCTCTCTCTAAATTAGTAGCATGAGCCAATACCATCAGAGCATCTTTATCCTTGGATAGAGATACACTGTAATTTCTCCAGGCAAACCACACGCAAGCCTTGTTACATGACTCGTTACCTGCGAGCAACCATCTTGTATCATCCCAGGGCTCTTTTCCAGAGGATGTTTTAACTCCTGGCTGGGTTTGGGGGAGACGGGGCTTGCTTGCTCCCCCGTCTTGTGGTGATTCTATTCACTTCACTATCAGAAGGCCTCATTTTCTGACTTTCCTTAGAGCAGTCAATCCTCCAAAAACCCCATTCTTCCCAGAATCTATGTGGATTTGTGCGGTTTGGGGGTTTCTTTTTATTTTTAATATATATTTTTATTGATTTCAGAGAAGAAGGGAAAGAGATAGAAACATCAATGATGAGAGAGAATCATTAATTGGCTGCCTCCTGCAAACCCCACACGGGGCATTGAGCCCGCAACCCAGGCAGGTGTCCTGACCGGGAATGGAACCATGACCTCCTGGATCACAAATGAACTCCCAACCACTGAGCCACGTGAGCTTGGGCCGTTTTTTGTTGGTTTACTTTTTTGGCAGAATTTTACGGTTTTATTAACACAAATACAATGTGTACACAAGTCTATTCATCTCCTTCACTGCGCAGTCTGGCACTGGGGTTGGTGACCTGATGGCCTGCTGGCTGCCCTTCCCACATGGCTTTGCGGTTCTCTGAGGAGACGTGTGAGCGATCTCAGCACAGTGACATGTGTTGCACATCAGCAGCACTTCAAGCTCCTTGACCCTGTGGACCAGGAACTTCCGAAAGCCACTGGGCAGCACGTGCTTTGTTTCTGTGCTGCTCCCATAACTCATATTGGGCATTAAGACCTGGCCTTGGGCGAAACCAGTTTGACTCAATGGATAGAGCGTCAGCCTGCGAACTGAAGGGTCCCAGGTTCAATTCTGGTCAGGGGCATGTGCCTTGGTTTCAGGCACATCCCCAGTAAGGGGAGTGGGGGGTAGGTGTAGGAGGCATGATTGATGTTTCTCTCTCATCAATGTTTCTGGCTCTCTGTCCCTCTCCCTTCCTCTCTGTAAAAAAATTAAAATAAAAAAAAATTATATATATATATATAAAAGACCTGGCCTTGAACCTTCTGCACACACTATTGTCAATGCCTCTGGATATGTTGACATTTGTGTTTGGCTGGTGTTGATGAACTTCTTGGTTCTCTTTTGACAAGCTGAGGGCAGCCTTGGTGCCCAGTGAGCTGCCAGGCCCACAGACAGCACCGAGGAAGAGAGATTTGTGAGGTTTTTATTTCTTTTTAATTTTATTTTTTTTTTAGAACATCTTAAATTTTTAATCTTTTCTTTACAGGTTACCTAAGACCACTTTTGATTAAGAAAACTGTAGAAAGTTGGTAACTGCCACAAGCAAACGCCCGTGTCCATTTCCGCAGAGTCCTGCTTTGCGGGGTGTCTGAATGCACTGCTCGGGGTCTCTGCTTACATTTGCTGGAATCAATCGTGGCAGATTCTAGTCCACAGGTCGCTTTTCCCATATTTCTTTGTAAACTCTTCCGTATTCTTACAGAATTTCTTATGGTCCTTATTCTTCAGCTAGGTCAGCCCGAAGCGGGTGCTCAGGCTGGGGGTCATCCACCAGTGCTATGAGAGACTGGATTACTTGGTCGGTTTTCATTGCTAGCTTCCAGTTTTCAGCACTAATTACTGGCAGACATACCTGCCCCTTTTCATCGATGTTGGGGTGATAGATCTTTGTTTTAAATGTGATCATCGGTGGTTTGAATGGGTATTCTGCTGGAAAGCTGATTTCGATTCTGAAGGCCCCTTATCCTAGGGAGGGTTGTCAGGAACAAATAAGCCCTTGCCAAGTCAATAAGTTAGCTTCATCAACCTGGATGTGACGGAAGTTTTTCACTCCACATGTGCGGATTTCTTCAAGCTCCTTCGTCAGCCTCCTGCTGCCCGCCATCTTGGATCTGGTGCTGCTCTGATTTGTGAGGTTTTTAAGTTGGCTTGTGATGTTTAGGCATAGTTGGAGCAGGAAATGCTTTCACAAAGAATTAGGCAGCTGCCGAAACCGGTTTGGCTCAGTGGATAGAGCGTCGGCCTGCAGACTGAAAGGTTCCGGGTTTGATTCCGGTCAAGGGCATGTACCTTGGTTGCAGGCACATCCCCAGTGGGGGTGTGCAGGAGGCAGCTGATCGATGATTCTCTCTCATCGACGTTTCTAATTCTCTATCCCTCTCAATTCCTCTCTGTGTAAAAATCAATAAAATATATATATTTTTTAAAAGAATTAGGCGGCTTATGGAGATAAACATGTGACAACAAAAACAGTAGATCTGGGGATCAGAACACCTGGGCTCCCTCCTCTTTTGGGCACATCACTCATTTCACAAATGAGCACCCATAGTCCACTGTGATAGCCAAGGGCAAGGTGTTAGATCGCCGAAGGAGGGAGGCCAGAATGGTGAGGGATTATGAAATTATTCAACCATCTACACACTGGTGGCTGAGCCTAGATTAGGGGTGTCGAACTCAATCAGAGAAGGGGCCAAAATCTAAAATCCAGCCTAAATCGTGGGCCGAATGGTTTACTGAACAGTCATAAACTGTCATTGTGATGGAAACGCAGCGGAGTGCAGTGATGACAGCGAGGTGCGGGCCACATTGCAAGGCCTGGCGGGACGGATTTGGCCCAAGGGCCTTGTGTTTGACATGTGGCCTAGATGGTCCAGCCCCCAGTGATGGGAGTCGGCGGCTTTTAAATGACTTTTTCTTTCTGGGCGGGGAATTCTCTGTGCAGAGCCGGAGGGGAGAGAATGGAGTGTGGTCCGAGCAAGTGAGTTGTGGGTCTCAGCAAAGGGAATGTCCACTGTGAAATGGCCTGAAAAGCCAGTTCCCAAGAGAGGGGTATCGATTCAATTATTTGACCAGACCTAACACAGGGAGGGCTGCGCTGGAAGTATGTAAATGAGAAGACTCTCCTTCCCAAGAGCAGCATGGTGGGCAAAGGAAATAGTTTAATTGCAACAATGGAGAATTGTAAAATGAATTGGGACATTTACTGGGGTGGTTTTCCAACTTGATTGCACCATCAGGATCCCCGTGGGTGGTCTTTCAAATACAGATCCGTGGGCCCCACCCTTCAAAAAGTCTGACCCAGTAAGTCTGAAAGTGTTCAAGGACTCCGAAGCCTTCGCAGGCGCCCCTCTCCCTAGCCCCCCACAAAAGTGATTCTACTGGAAGTGGCCCCAGCACATGACAAGGGAAGAGCCAGGAAATGGTTCTCAAAGGCAGGGGCCTACTGTTGATTTTTTGTTCTTTGTTTGCTTGTTTTTAACCTCACCTGAAAATATTTTTTTCCATAGACTTTTAAAGAGAGAGAGGAAGGGATGGGGAGAGACAAGAGAAACATCAAGGTCAAAGAGATACATCAATTGGTTGCCTCTGCAGGCGCCTCAACCAGGGCCTGGGATTGAGCTAGCAACTTAGGCACATGCCCTCACAAAAATTCAACTAGTGACCTCCTGGTTCATGGGTCAATGCTCAACCACTGAGCCACACCAGCCTGGCAAAATGCCCCTATAGATTAAGCTCCTTCAAAAAGAGTATGCCATCCTCCAGTCTTTTATGTATTTGCTTTACTAAAAAACTAAAAATGGCATCATGCTATATATCACTTAGAAAAGGATCAGTATAAGTTTGAAACTTGCTTTTTTTTTTCTTCTGATAATATACCACAAATATATTTCTAGCTCCTTTGGGTTTGAACAAACCATAACTTATTTAAATTGTCATCAATTTTAAATATTAAAAAGAACATTGTGATAAGCATCTGTATCTAAAATCTTTGCGTATTATCAATCATAATTTAAAAAGACTAAATGAGTTGAAGCTGGATTGCTATATCAAAGAATGGGCAAGTCTATGGCTTTTGAAATCCTGTTTTGAAATGGTTGTAATTATTTACGTGAATAAATGAAGAAAAAACAGAACTAAAAAAATATAGTGTGGCCGAAACTGGTTTGGCTCAGTGGATAGAGCATTAGCCTGCAGACTGAAAGATCCCAGGTTTGATTCTGGTCAAGGGCATGTACTTTGGTTGCGGGCACATCCCCAGTAGGGGGTATGCAAGAGGCAGCTGATCAATGATTCTCTCTCATTGATTGTTTCTAACTCTTTATCCCTCTCTCTTCCTCTCTGTAAAAAAATCAATAAAATATATTACACTATAAAATATAAATATACTATCAATATATATTGGGTCGGCAGCTAAGTAATTGCGGATTTTTTAAAGAAAATCAAAGACAATTTTTTCATGGAACTAAATAACTTTATTCTGTAATGTATTGCCCATTTTGATCAATGACCTCTTGCCATCTTTCAGGCAGCATCATAATCCCACGTTCAAAAAACTTCTGGTTTTTATTAGCAAAAAACTGAATCAGGTACGATTTGACATCATCATCATTATTGAAATTTTTACCATTCAAGGAGTTTTGTAAAGATCGAAACAAAAAGTAATCAGATGGTGCAAAGTCAGGACTATATGGTGGATGTGGCAAAACATCCCAACCAAGCTCCATTAATTTTTGCCGAGTGACCAAAAATGTGTGTGGCCTTGCATTGTCATGATGTAATACAGCTCCTTTTCGATTTGTCAATTCGGGCCGCTTTTCTTCAACTGCATTGTTTAATTTCGTTAGTTGTTCAATGTAGACATCAGAATTGATCGTTCAGTTGGGTGGTAAGAGTTCAAAGTAGACAATTCCTTTGTAATCCCACCAAACTGATAACAAAACCTTCTTTTGATGAATATCAGCTTTTGATGTTGTTTGAGTTGGTTCACCTGGCCTGCTCCACGATCTTTTCCGCTTGATATTGTTGTAAACAACCCATTTTTCATCGCCAGTTATCAGTCGTTTTAAAAATGGACCATTTTCATTACGTTTCTTTAGCAAATCGCAGCTGCTAATGCGTTGCATTAACTCTGATTCTTTCAGTTCGCGAGGAACCCATGTATCGAGTTTTTGAACATAGCCAAGTTGTTTTAAGTGATTTTCAATGCATGTATGTGATACATGAAGCTTCTCTGCAATCTCACGTGTTGTACTGTGACAGTCCGAATTGATTATTGCTTTGATTAGGGCGTCATCAACTTCAACTGGACGACCAGAGCGTTTTTCATCTTTGAGTGAAAAATCACCAGAACGAAATTTGGCAAACCAATTTTGACACTGCCGTTATTTTAAGGCTTCGTCACCATAAACAGCACATAACTTTTTATGAGCTTGCGATGCGTTTTTCCCTTTGAGGAAGTAAAAAAGCAAAATATGACGAAAATGTTCCTTTTGATTTTCCATTTTTCAACGAACGCCAAACGAAAACTACAAAACAGATCAAAAAACTTTTTTTACTGATTAACAGCTGAATAGCCAACTATCAAATAACAAAATGTGTTTTACATTTGTACTACGTCTGCAAACCTAAAAATTCAACTGAAGCCATATATGTGTGAAACCAGCAATTACTTAGTTGCCGACCCAATATATTATATAGTTTGTGTGTAGGGGGGGCAAGTTAGTTGGAGTGACATCCCATACATCAAAAGGTTGTGGGTTCAGTCCTTGAGGGGCCTGGCCATACAGGAGGCAACCAATTTTTATTTCTCCATTGAATTTTTTTTTCTCTCTCTCTAAAAAAAAAAATCAATGAAAACATATCCTGGGATGCGGAAAAAAAAAAAAAAAAAAGAAAGAAAGAAAGAAAAGAAGTAACTCAGGCCCTGGCTGGAGAGCTCAGTTGGTTAGAGCATCATCCCTGTACACCAAGGCTGAGGGTTCAGATCCCTAATCAGGGTACATATAAGAATTAAAAATGAATGTATAAATAAGTGGAGCAACAAATCAATCATCTCCCTCTTTCCCTGTGTCTAAAATCAATTCATCCATCCATCCATCCAATGGGAAGAGCACCATAATGTTAGGTAGAGTGCTCAGTAATGGCTTCTTCAAGATGATTTTAAATTATCATGACAAATCAGGTATAAACATTCCAGAGGCCCCGAGGCAGGAAAGAAAAGGAGACCACCCTGCAGCCAGGGCAGCCACCTAAGACCGGCCACACGGCGGGCAGCAAGAGACACGCGGGAGTAGAGGCGGACCCACGGGACTTCAGACTATGGCAGGAATTTGAGTTAAGTCTGTAAGAGGGGGGCAGCAGTGAAAGTGAACCACTGAAGGACTCTAAGCAGTGGAATATGATCTGATTTATGATTCTGAACAACTCTAGCAAGAAAACAAAATTATAATATTTATCTCTGGGTGGTAAGGTTATGAGTGATTTCTAATATCTTCATCCTTTTCTGTATTTTTCAAATTTTCTCTAATGTGCGTTTATCACATTTGTGGTTTAAGAAATTTAGTCAAGTCCTGACCAGTTTGGCTCAGTGGATGGAGCATTGGCCTGTGGACTGGGTGGTCCTGGGTTCTGTGTGCGTCGAGGGCATGTACCTTTGGTTGTGGGCACATCCCCAGTAGTGGGTATGCAGGAGGCAGTTGATCAATGTTTCTCTCTCATTGATGTTTCTAGCTCTCTGTCCTTCTCCCTTCCTTTCTGTAAAAAATCAATAAATTTAAAAAATAAAAATAAAAAATTTAGTCAAAAAGGCTAATTGGAAAGCAGTTCAAAGGACAACGAAAGGAAGTATAATTGATGGTGATCCTTGGGCCCCACCCTTCAGAAAGTCTGACCCAGTAAGTCTGAAAGTGTTCAAGGACTCTGAGGCCTTCCCAAGTGCCCCTCTCCCTAGAATGGTTTGGTGGACAGGGAAATGGAAAGGCAAGAACCTGACCAATGTTTTATGGGTAAAATCCACCAGTGACTGGTTGAGTGGGAGATAAGTCTAAAATGAGTGCTGGGTTCCATCTTGGGTGACTGGCTCACAGTGACCCCCTCTCAACCCAACAGGGGACACAGGAAGAGCACAAACACGGGAGGGAAGGTGAATGGGGTATCATAGAAAATGAGTGGCCCACAGCACCAAAAGCCAAGTAATCAGATGACTCGGGTTATAGAGCTAAGAGGAATGACGATTCTTTCCAGAAGCTTGACTCTAAAGAGAAACAATAGGGCAGTACCAGAGTGTAGGGCTGAAGGAGTGTTTCAGCCAAGGGAAATGAACCAGTGGAGGCTGAGTGGTTGCAAGTACAGATGTTAAGGGGGCGGCTGAGGAGCATGGTCACAAAGTGAGATCATAAGCAGAGGTGGAACTTCACTAGAGAAAGGACATCAGTTCTCTTGGGACTGGGGGCAGAGGCAGCAAGATCCACACGTACAGGCTCTTTTGGAGGCTCATAGTGGGAAGGGGGAGTTCTTGCTTTTGGAATTTTACTACCTCTGTGCATTAGAAGGCGGTTATCTACTGGGGATGCGGATGAGTAAGCAGTTGAAGCAAAGTAGTAAAGGTTTATAATAATCTGAGAAGAATGGTAGAGGCTGCTGATCCAAGATCAGGACTGTTGACTTAACTAGATTTTATAACCACCCTCCCCATCATCTGTACATTCCATCTTTTTTTTTTTAATCTTTTTGAAAGTATTACAGATGTCTCCCCCCCCCCCCCCCGCCCCATGACCCTCTTCACCCCGTACTGTCCCCCTCCCTCTCTTCCCTATTTGTTGTTTTTTTTACACTGTTTTGCAACCCAAGAAGACATAGGTGGGAAATGAAATCATGCAATTGATTCAGGATTGGGAGTTGGCAGAGTAGGCAAACCTTGAGAATAAGGGCTCTAAAGCATGGAGTGTTATGAATGAGAATAGCTTGATACCACACATTGCACTGCCTCTGCTTTGGATCTCTTGCCTCACCTCTGCTCAAAATGGACTCCAACTGCTCCTGTCTCACTGCTGGATCCTGCACCTGTGCTGGCTCCTGCAATGCAAAGCCTGCAAATGACCTCCCATGGGCTGTGCGGGCTGCGCCCGGAGCCTGTCTGCAGGAGCGTGGGCAATGTGCATGTTGGGGAGAGCTGCTCCCAGCTGGAAATAGAGCGTGTTCAAACCTGCATTTTCTTTTCATTCCACCCCGAACTGTTTGCCACATTCCCTTTTTATGAAATATGTGAGGGATAATAAAAATTGTTGACTTAAAAAAAAAAACCAGTTTGAGTTAATCATAGGGTACCTACTGGGTCAGGCAGAGAATAGAGTTAAAAGAGAAAAAAAAAAAAAAAAAAAGAAAAAGAAAAAGAAAAGAAAAGAAGGAAAGAAAGAAAGAGCTGAAACCGGTTTGGCTCAGTGGATAGAGCGTCGGCCTGTGGACTGAAAGGTCCTGGGTTCGATTCCGGTCAAGGGCATGTACCTTGGTTGCGGGCACATCCCCAGTAGGGGGTGTGCAAGAGGCAGCTGATCGATGATTCTCTCTCATCGATGTTTCTAGCTCTCTCTCTCTCTTCCTCTCTGTGAAAAATCAATAAAATATATTTTAAAAAAAGAAAGAGAAAAAAAAATAAGGTCAAGCAGAAATATCAAGAGATTGGGACCCAAAAGTAAAAAAATAGATTTAGTGACGAAGGAAGAAAACTGGAAAAGCAGTCAAATCCTGGCTCTCCTAGTGTCTAGGTTGCCTCCTCCGTGCCTCGCTTGTCTTACAAGTAAAACCTGTATCTATAAAAGCCTAAGTGACCACTGAGACCGAACAGACGGCCGGACAGGCTGTGTGGGGTGACCAGGCCTGCTGGGGCGGGGGTGGGCAGTTGGGAGGGACTAGACTGGCGAGGGGTGGGGTGGGGGGCAGTGAGAGATGACCAGGCAGGCAGGCAAGCAGTTAGGAGCCAGTGGTCCCAGATTGTGAGAACTGAGATCAGGCCTAAACTGTAGTCAGCCCCCAAGGGGTCCCTGATTAGAGAGGATGCAGGCCAGGCTGAGACCACCCCCACCCCCCATGCACGAATTTCATGCACTGGGACTCTAGAATATAATACTGGACACTAAACTGGTCTGAGGCCACCTATCACTACTTGAACCAAATTAAGCGGAGACAGGATTGAATCATGTATGAGCACTTATGCCAGTACTGTTGGCAGTATGGAAGAGCAGTCAATCATCCTGAAAATTCTGCTGATCCCCCTTGCCAGTTGGCTGGTTATGTGAGTGAGTGAGAAGGTAACTGCATGCAGCTGCAGGTTGCAAGGGAAACAGGGAGAGGAGAGGGGAGGGGAGGGCTGGGGAAGGTCTGCAGTCCTGCCTTCAGGAACTCAAAGTCTGATAACGAGGTGGCTAATCTTCTATGATGTTACGAATAGCTCAGCCCATCCCTGGGACCAGAGAATGGTCAGTATTCCTGAGGCAAACTCCCAAAGAGGGGCAGGGTCTGGGCACAGCAACCAAATCAAAGCGTGTCCTGTGCTTGGTTTGTTCTCCAAATAAATTTCTCTTCTGAGTAACTGACCCTCCGAGGCATCTTATCTTTTTGTTGTTGTAGTTAATCCTCACCCTAGGATATTTTTTCCATTGATATTTTATTTTATTATTGATTTCAGAGAGGGAGAGATAGAAACATTAATGATGAGAATCATTGATTGACTGCTTCCTGCATGCCCCCTCTGAGAATCAAGCCCACAACCCGGGCATGTGCGCTGACTAGGAATCAAACTGGGAGTTCCTGGTTCATTGGTCCATATACAACCACTGAGCCATGTTAGCTGGGCTCCGCTGTTTTTTAGAGAATGGAAGGGAGGGGGAAGAGACAAACATGCAAGAGACACATCTGACTGGTTGCCTCCTGCTCATGCCCCAACCAATATCAAGGATTGAGTTTGAAATCGAGGCACATGCTCTTGCCCGGAATTGAACCCGCAACCCTTCAGTCCACAGGCTCTATCCACTGAGCAAAATTGGCTAGGGCAGTGGTTGGTAAACTCATTAGTCAACAGAGCCAAATATCAACAGTACAATTAAAATTTCTTTTGAGAGCCAATTTTTTTTTAACTTAAACTTCTTCTAATGCCACTTCTTCAAAACAGACTCGCCCAGGCCGTGATATTTTGTGGAAAAGCCACACTTAAGGGGTCAAAGAGCAGCCATGTGGCTCGTGAGCCGCAGTTTGCCAACCATGGGGCTAGGACATGGCATTTTATCTTTTTCCAGCCTTGTTTCATCCTCCAGTTTCCCAGGGTCATAAGAAAACCTCTTGCCTGGCCAGCATGTCTCAGTGGTGGAGCATCTACCTATGAATCATGGTTCGATTCCTGGACAGGGCACATGCCCAGGTTACAGGCTTGATCCCCAGTAGAGGGCGTAGAGTAAGCCCATCAGTGATTCTCTCTCATCATTGAGGTTATTTCTCCCTTCCTCTCTGAAATCAATACAAAATATATATAAAAAAATAAAAATATATTTAAAAAGAAAACCTATCTATAGTTAGTAAGGTGAATAATTAGTAAGTATTCTTAGTACGTGCCTTTAACCCATCAGAAGTAACAGCGCCTGCACCTAAAGTGCTTGGAACAGGGCCTGCCACATGGACCACAGCATCACTTAAATTCAGCAGCAGCATCATTTCTCATTTGAACAATGAGGGGGCCTATAACAGTCTCTAAAGCAGATATTCTCAAATGTCTTGGCCTATGAACACCTTTACACGCTTAAAATGATTGAAGATGCCAAAGAACTTTTAAAAATGTGTAGTTTACCTATTGATTTTTTAATCTCTTAAAACTATTTCTTAGTAAAATAAGTATTTTTAAGAAACGTAACTTTAAAATATATATATATATAAAAGTGTGACACATTGTGCAAATACCTTTAATGTTTGGCTTAATTAAAGACAGCTGGATTCTCAGCGTCTACATGCAGCATACTGAGGTGTGCTGTTTGAAGGATATAAGAAAACCCAAGCACCTCACTGACCTTCTAAAAGGGTCTGGAAGACCCTGGCCCACATTTTGAGAACTTTTTCTAAAGTTTTCTTCCAGCTTTAAAGCACTCATTCATTCATCCATTCGGCACCACTTTATCCCAGAGGTAGAAACAAAACATATGGCTGCCTGTCCTGGAAGAATTTAGTTAAGAGATGAAAATTAATGAAAATGACAGCACAGCATAAGTGAACACAGGAGGAAGTTGCCGAGAGGCAAGGAAGGTGGAACAGAGTCCAGGAAATTGGAATTTGGGCTGTATTTCTTGCAAGAGACTACGCGAAGGCCCAGCGGCAGGAATCAATCTGGTACAAGAAAACCCAGGTACACTGGCAGAGAAAGGAAGTCTTTTCCAGAGGAGGGGAAAGGTTGTTGGGCCTGAGATGATAAGTTAAATCTCACCCTCAGGAGGCTGGGGTAAGGAACTTGTTTTCCCCTTTTCTGCCAGGTTCATTGAGGTTTAATTTACACAGAAAATATTTTACCTTTTTAGGTGTAGTATAGTTCTGTAAGTCATGACATAGGTACAGTAAACAATGACACAATCAAGACATAATATATTCTCATCACCTCAAAAAGTTCTCTTTGGCCAATCCCCAACCTCCACTCCTTTGGCTGCAGGCAACGATTGGCCTGATTTCTGTTTCAACAGTTTTAATTTTTACTTTGAAATAATTATACTCACTGGACGTTGCAGAGAGGGTCCATGTACACAAGCTCCAGCTCCTTCCAATACTAACTACTTCAGATTCCACCAGTGCTTACGTGCATCAGCTCACTTTAAGGAACATAATCGGGCCGTATATGCAAGCTGGGCTGATGAAGCAAGGTCATGGAAGAACTCAAGGAGGTGCAGGGAGAGGAGAGGACTGAAGGAAACATTCCTGGAGAACAGGCATTATTTGATGAACAATTCGTATGAGTATTTAAGTTCATCCCTTTTTCGGAAATGAACTCTCCTATAGGGCAGGACAGCAAGCAGGTTGTTAGAAGTTGAAGAGCCCGATCTTTGACTGAATTGAGGAAATGTTTCTTCCAGGCATGATATTCCTGCTTACTCTTAAACAGGAAAAAAAAAATTTTTTCAGTCACTTTCTTCATTTTCTTACTTTTGCATGATCGGAAACAATGAAATAACTGTCAAAGACCTGATATTACCTTGAGATGTAGACCCTTACCTATTGGCTCTCACGAACAGAATTAACTAACTCCCAAAAACCGAAACAAACTAAACTATACTTTCATTGCTTCCTGGAGTTCTGAACTTTTGTTGGTTCTCCCACCTGCTTCAGCCTTGCATCTGCCTGTGGTATTAATAATGCCTGTAACTTAACGTATTTACAAATATCATTTGCTCATCCCAAGACTGGGTGTTATCTTCACTTTTACAGTCCGAGACATTGAGACTCGTGTTTGGTGCCCAGGACCACACCCACACTGTAAAAAGCTTAGAAAGGTGCTGGCGCCGGGGATGCATGCTGTCACGTTAGCGAGCCTTGTCCGAAGCCTGTTTCTCTCCACCCCAATTATGGCCGGCACGGACCGTTTTCTCCCACAGCTGCGGCGGACTAAATTTAGACAAAAGCTCCATCCATGCCATGGAAGTGTTTCTGGTGACAAAATCTGCACTTAAAACCCCAGTTTGTTTAAACCTTACTCCGGCTGCTACCTAGTTTCTCACTAGTTATAACCAAACACAGCCCTGCGGTACCTCTGAGTGATCTTGTACCTATTCATGACGAGCTTTTAAATACGTATCTTTAAAATCAGGAAGTATCTTAAAACCCAGATTTAATGAAATATGCTAACATAGTGTTGTGTGTGTGGTTTTTTTTTGTTTTTTTTTTTACCATTCCCTGGACTAGATATTTTATAAACACTTAATATTCAACCCTCCAAACACCTACCTGTGAATAACATCATCGTTAATAACGCAGACAGGTCCTTCTGACCCAATTTCAGTCAACTCGGCCCCGAGTCACAGCTCCGTTTTATGCAAACACACAGGAAACAATCCCAAACATAAGGGGGTACATTAAAAATAACAACCACAACCAAACAAAAACGGGAAAACTCCGAGGCTCAGCACGGCTCCACACCCGGCCCGAGCTCACCCCGAGGGCATCAGCCCCGGAATCCCCCAGCTCCACCCGCTTCCACCAACCCCGCCGCCGCTGCCACGTGGTGGGGCAGCACCAGCTCCGTTTTGCAGAAGCCGAGCCTGGGAGCAAGGCGGGCGGGGCGGAGGGTAAACATGTAATGGGAACAGAACCAAACGTGCAGGAGAAAGGAGCGCACCTCCACCCTCCAAAAAAACCCCCTAGTTTTCAAAGCAGAGCGTTCGGGGTGCGCCGGGTGCCGGACACCCTCCGCGCGGGTCCCGCAAGACGGCGGAGTCTTCAGAGAAGATGGTTCCGATCCGGCGACCTTGGGGGCCCCGCTGCCACCCGGCCGGGCCACACCCGAGGCGGCCGCCCGCTCCCCCGGGGGCGCTGCTCAAACACACACGCGCGCACGTGTCCCGGGCGGCCCCGCAGCCCCGCGCCCGAGGTGGGGCCCCCGCAGCCGCCGTCACCGCCGGCCGCCTGCGGTGCAGCCCGCCCCGCAGCGGGCCTCCCCCCCGCCCGGCCCCGGGAGGCCCCGCAGGGCGCAGGGCGGCGCGGCAGCCGGAGCCCGGGCCACGCGGGCGCCGCACTTCCTCTTCCTCCCCCCGCGCGGGCGGCGGGGCGGCCGGAGCGAGGCCCCTCCGCGAGCCGCCGGCCCCGCCGCGCCCCCGCCGCCGCCGCCCCCGCCGCGCCCTCGGACCGCGCGGCCTCCGGGTGGCTGGGCCCCGCGCGGGCAGCGAGAGGCGGGGCCGCCGTGCGGGCGGCGGAAGGAGGCGGAGGAGGAGGAAGAGGAGGCGGAGGCGGCGGCCGGGAGCGGGGAGAGGGCGGGGGGCGGGCCGGGGAAGGGGAGGAGCGGGATTTCAGGAGCGCGGCGCCGCAGCCGGGAGCCGGCGGCCCGAGAGTGACCGAGTCACGGCGGCCGCCGGGGGAGCCGCGGCGTCGGACCCGCCTCCTGGAGCGCAGCCCCGGCCAGGCCCGGCCCCGTTCCCGCCCCGCGCCGCCTCCCCGCCGCCGCCGCCGCCGCCGGAGCGCTCCTGCCCACCCCGCCCCCGCGGCCGAGCCCGGGAGACGAGTGGGAGTCGGCCGCCGGCGCGGGCACCGGGACCCCGCGGGGGACACTGCAGCCGGAGCCCGGAGGCCGCGCCGCCGCCGTCTCAACTAGGATGTCCCGACATGAAGGTGAGCGCCCCCCTCCCCTCCCCCCGCCGGGCCTCGGCCTACCCTCCCGGGCCGCGCGCCGCGGGGGCCGGCCGGCCGGAGGCGGCGGGGACGGCGGCCGGGCGAGCCGGCCCCGAAACGCCCGGCCCGGGAGCGAGCGGGCCCGGCGGAGAGCCCGGCGCCTCCGCGGTGGCCGCCGCGGCCCGGCCCGGAGCTGGGCCTGGAGCCGGAGGCGGGGCGGCGGGCCGGCGGAGGGTTTGCACTGTCATGGGGAGGGGGAGGGGAGGCGGCGGGGCCCGTTACCGGCGGGGGCCCGGCCCCGGGAGCGGATACCGGACGCCGCGGGGCCGCCGGGCCGGTGCCGGAGCCGTGGGCCCCGCCGCGGCCTAGCGCGCCCGCCACCCCGGAAGGGCCCGGCGCGGCCGCCGCCGAGCAGGCCACCGGCGGAGGCGGGAGGCCGGGGAGCCGGGCCCGGGATCGGCGGGCGCGTCCGGTCGCCGGGAGACGACAGCGAGGGCCCTGCGTGCGGGCGGCGGGAAGGCGCCGCGGCCGGGGACCGAGAGAGCCCCGCCGCCGCCGGCCTCGCGGCTAGGCCTCGGCGCGGCCCTGGGCTCGGGTAACCCAGTTCCCCGGGCGGGTCCGGCCCGGCCGCGGCGGCGAGCAAACTCCCTGCCCCGTCACCTGGTCGGACGGGCTGGCCCCCGCGGCCGGCCGGCTCCCGGCGTGCACCACCCCGGAGCCCGGCTTTGGTAAATGACCTGGCGAGGTCTCTTCATGGTCAGGGGGGGCATGCGGGGCTTGGTTTTGAGGCTTAAAAACATGATCGGGGCGCAGTTGCAAATAAGTAGGCAGCTCTATCTAGCCTAGTCCCTGCCGGGGCACAAAGAGAAACACGTCCAGGGCACATGTATAAGGCGTTGTGCTGGTTCAAAAGTAAATAAATAAATAAGTTAACTTCAGTTTACTGCCATATGGTTTAGAAAAGGGGGAGAAAGGGGGTCGTGTTCTCTTTGTTTCCCTGCCACAGGTCTTCAAATAAAAAAAAGTATTAAGAGACTTGGCGAATACTTTAGCCTGGTCAGGTCAATGCAACATTGTAGAAGTGGCCGGAAAGTATAGTGTGCACTCTCAAGTTTAAAATCCTGTGTGGTGGGTAGGTGATGTGGGGAGGAGGAGTGGAGAAAGTTTAGGGAGTCAGATGAGTGTGTGCTTTCACACCCGTTGGAAAGGTATTCTTAGGGAAGGAAATACAGGCCTTAGGATTTTGAGGTTGAAAAACTCAGATTGATTTAAAATGGTACAGAGAGCAAATTGCATTACTAATTGCAACGTTGAGATTGACTCAGAGAATATTTTTGGTTTCAAGGATTCCGTATTTTGAACGTCCAAGGTGAATTGGAAATACAATGCACTTTTTTCACTTACTGTGTACAACTGTGGACATTTTGAAATAATAATGTGCTTAGGCTCATAGGAATACTTTGAAACAATACCTAGTTTTCCTTCCCCCCCCCCCCCTTATTGGAAATATATTTCCTATCTGTAATTTAAAAGAAATTCTAATTGAAATTCTAATCAAATTTGGAATATTAAAGTTTACATTAGACTCTACTTGTGTGTACGTTGACCATCTTCAAGACAAACTTAATTTGATTAGTAGCTCCAGGCCCCTCTCACTCATAAGAACGGGAGAGTTAAAATTATGGTATCAAAGCGATGGGAGAACTGGAGTTGAGACCCATTCTCCTTGCTTCAGGAAAACAGGCAAGTAGTTTCAAACTGAGTAATTCAAATGGAGTAGTATCCTTTATCCACAGTAATCTTTGAGAACACCAATTTTCAACAGGTGTGCTACAAGGATTTTTAAAACATGCAATATCTGACTAGTCAGGTGCACTGGTATCTTTTCCCTTATATTATCCAATTAAAAAAACCCAACACAGCAGTAGCTGTCTGGTGTGAATTAATCAAAATTATACCTTTTTTTTGTCAGAGTGGCAAAAGTATTTTTTAGTGTCCTCCAAATTTTAGTAATTAGTGTGTGCCATGAGTTGGAAAAGGTTAAAAATCGCTGTTTTAGAGTAATTAAAATCCCACAGTGACAGTATTTTTGCGTATAACAAATCTGTAATCTAAGCCCATTTTCCCTGTGGAAAAGCATGTGGATTAGAAAGTTACAATACTTTTTAGTTGTTGAATATTACTGAACCTTAGGACATTAATAGCACACCTTTTCTGGTAACTTACATAACACCAGATATTTCTGAAAAAGGAACATTCTTGTAATACATCAGTTGAAGACTGTAGTACAGTATTTAACAAGTGATCTTTTAACGGTCTAGTTTATATCTAAGGGTCTAAGGCAGGAATGACAGTCTCATTAAGAATCACATTTAATTCATTAGATGTTTTGTAGCATATTAGTTCAGATTTCCATTACTTTCATCATTAGGAATTCAACCTAACAATGATTACAGTTTGACACCCTTACTGTTCTAGCTTTTTTTTACCTCTCTCTTTAACCTACTAATCCTATTTCTTTTAACTATATTTTATTGATTTCAGAGAGGAAGAAGAGGGGGAGAGAGATAAAAACATCAGTGATGAGAGAGAATCATTGATCGGCTGCTTCCTGCAAGCCCCACACTTGGGGATCGAGCCTGCTGCCACAGCCCAGGCATGTGCCCTGACGGGGAATCAAACGGTGACCTCCTGGTTTATAGATTGATGCTCAACCGCTGAGCAACGCCAGCCTAGCTAATCCCATTTCTTCTAGCATTTCAGTGGTATTAATCTGTTCACCTTCAAATTCTCTGTAGTTCTTGTTTCCTTTCACTAGTATATCCCAGAACTGGATGTAGTAGTAGTCTGGTGCACTGTGCTGCAGGTAATGTACTTGCATTGTGTTTCCTTTTCAGTACCTTCTGTGTGGTGTAATTTGTTACTTTGTCTTTGTGCCCACCTTAATGAGTAGCACTAATGTATCTATATGTAAGATATAACTTTGGACAACACAGCTCCAAGATGAACATCTATCAAGCTTAGACTCTACGTTGTGAAGCAGTGGACTGACTACCTCTGAAAAAGGAGAAGCAGCCAGCAGCATAGAATGCCGTAGCTCAGGGGTCTGCATAAGTCTTCTGAGAAGGGCAGGTAGTAAATATTGTGGTTTGGTAAGCCATGAGGTCAGCTCTGCCACTGTAGTGTAAATGCAGCGTTAGCCAACATGTAAATGAATGAGCACAACCATGTTCTAATTAAAACTTTTATTTATAGACTGACATTTCAATTTCATGTAATTTTCATGTGTCATGAAATAAGACTCAGGTTTACCATTTAAAAATGTAAAACCATTCTTAGCTTGCAGACCTTACGTAGAAAGTGGCTGAATTTGGCCCAGTTTGGCCCAGGGCTATAATTTGCCTTCTTTGGCTCTACTAAAGCTTTGGAGAGTTTATAGAAATGGAATTTTGTATTCCCTCATTTCCTTTGGTGTAATGGGGCTGAATCTATGGACCAAACCCGTTCTGTACCTCAGTTTCCAGTAGCGCTGTGCAGATTGGGATGGAAGTAATTGTTCCCAGGTTTGGAAACTGGCTCCTCACCTTTCCAGAACCTGAGTGGGGAGGCAGACCCTCCATTGTCTCCTGCTTGGCCAATTATTTAATGTTCACTATTACAAAGTGCCCAATTACTTAATGTTCACTATACAAATACCATGTTACACGTGGCAAAACCAATTATTTTCTACTTT